ACGATTCCATAATCTGATCGCACTAAGTCTGTAAGACCGCCTGTAAAGTTCTGTACGACATTGAGGCACCGAGAGAAGGTCTTCAGCAGATCTCATGGATCTGGATGATGAACAGACTTTAATGGAGAATAGCCTGTAAAGAAGATCTGGTTGCTGATATTTAAGAATATTGAAAAGAAGACAGGCAACGAGGTACTCCCTTCTTTTGTCAACCTTGAGCCAGCGGAGCCTTGTATAGTATGGCGAGATGTGTTCATCGATCTTGATACAAAAGATAAACCTCATACATGCGTTCATGGCTCGATATAATTTCAGATTGAGTTCCGCAGTGATGTCAGTAAGTATGGCGCAACAATAGTCAATGTGCGGATAGATGAGAGAGACAACAAGTTTTATTTTTAGTGTATCAGGAATAAGATGTCTGCATAGCTTGAGCTGGTGTAGCGTAGAGCGAACCTTGTTCGTGATGTGCGATACTTGCAGATCCCAAGATAGGTTGTTCGCAATCCAAACTCCTAGGTACTTTACGTGAGCAGAATATGTCACATCGACTCCAGCAACAGTAATTTTTGGAACTGAAGTTAGATCAATTGCGTTTATGTATCTTGACGTACCCATAATAATTGATTGCGTTTTATTCGCATTTAGTAACAGTTTGTTTGAAGTGGCCCACGTGAGAATTGAGATGATGTCACTATTTACTCTGTTAACGGTATCGGCTAGATCTTGAGGTTTACAGTGATGGTAGATTTGCAGATCGTCGGCATATAAATTGTATTCACTGTGTCGCAGCATGTGTCTAAAATGTGACAGATAAAGTGTGAACAAGAGAGGTGCAAGCACCGAGCCCTGTGGTACGCCCATCCTGACCAAGGTCGAAGGGATAAGATAATCGTTGACCCTGTCACGAACGGCCTGAGCTCTTCCAGTGAGATAAGAATAAATCCATCTGAGCACGGTTTCCGAGAAATTGAGGCTCTTCAACTTCTCAATCAGCGTGACATGCTGTACCCGGTCGAACGCCTTGGAGAGGTCAAAGAAGACGGATATAGTGACCATCCTGTTGTCTGCAGCTTGTCTGACCTCATCAAGCATCCTGATGAGACATGTCTGCGTTGAGTTATGCTGTCGATAGGCTGATTGACGGGGATCAAGAAGATTGTGATCAGACAGATAGAGACAAATCTGATCGCAGACCACTCTTTCAAGCGCCTTGGACATAGCAGGCAATATGGAGATTGGCCTATAGTGCTGCACTTCGGTTGGGTTTCTAATTTTAGGTATTGGACAAACAAGCGCCATCTTCCACGATTCAGGGAAAATACTCCTCGAAAGAGAAAAGTTAAAAAGATGTTCAATTACCGGCATAATGCAAGGCAGAGCAAGTTTGATCATTTTGAGAGAGATTCCGTCATTTCCAAAAGGAGAGAAAGAGAGAGAGAGATTTTTGATTGATTGATCTTTATTAGCTTTCTCAGCTTTTTGTGATACAGATCTAGTTTACATTAATTACAATATACGCCTTTAACATTCGCCTAAATGGCACAATTCTTTCATTCTGCTTTATTTCAGCTGGCAAGGCGTTATACATTTTTACTCCTTCGTAAAACATACTCTTTTGCGCACTCCTTGTTCTGCGATATTTTATTGCAATATCCCCAGCTTGTCGTGTTTGCCTTTCACTCTCATTTCTCACAATTTCTAATCTATTTCTTAATTGCTCCGGTAACATGTTCCTTAAAATCTTAAAAATAAATATACACACATTATAATATAGCCTCTGTTTTATGGACATAAACTGCAGCGCTTGCAGCATACGCTCCACTTTGATATGTCTATCACATTGTAATATGATCTTCATGGCCTGGTTTTGTGCTTTTTGCAATTAACTCAGCTATGTTTCTCCCATATCAATTATCAGCGTCGCACTATACTCAAAGTGAGGCGCTATGATTGTCTTATGTAAAATACGTCTAGTGTATGCCGATATGTAATTACCTATTCTATTTAAAAAACTCGTTTTTTTCCCTATTTATAGCATATAATCACAGTGGTCCTTAAATCGTAATCTATCGTCTATAATTATGTCTAGATTTCATTATTTCCACACGTTCTATCTCAGAATTATTGGATAATCCTATTTTTATAATATTCGAATCAGATATTTGAACCACTTCGAATGTCAAATTTTGAATCCGCAATGGGATTTCAGTCGATTGTAGAAGCCGTTCAATATCCGCACGTTTCTGCATTAGCGATTTCCACGTTTCAAAAGACAATATTATTTGATTGCCTCGATTGTCGCCGAGAACCAATTCCACGCAAGATACAGCTCCAACGTTTATTCCAATGTCCAAATATTTGTATGACATCTGCAAACATTTTTATACTACATCTTTCTGAACAGATTTTTATTATATCATTT